AACGAACGGGGCCTGTAAGCCCTAAGTTTTAGGCTCTTAGGCTGAATGTCCGGGACGGGCCCTGCAGGGCCCGTGTGGCTACGCAGTATGCCACACCCCCCCCTCCTTGAAGAACCGAGCTTACCTGCGAGGGCGAAGCTGTCTGTCTGAGGGAGGGACCACAGTCCGGGTGGGAGGGGCTGGTCGTGAAGCTTCCTGAGCTAACCATCGCTTTTCATAATGCGCGTAGATCAGCGGTGCGGATGCTTTCAAATCTGCGCCTGAAATCCACCGAGTGTCGTCGCGATCGCATGCTTTGAATGTGACTTTGTACTGTCGCGGCTTGCTGCCGTACTTGCGATCGGCGATGACGCGGTCAACTTCCTGATGGCCATCCATAGAAGGAGGGTCCTGCAATCGTCGGTCCGGAAAGTCGTCGCTCTTGGCTGACGTGCATGTTGCCAGCTTCGAGGCGTGGAAGACCGGATGGACCGTCAGATGCTCTGGAATGTTGATCACAAATGAAGGGCCATCGGGCTCATCGCTCACGGCTGCTGTCACAGACCAAGGTCCAAACCACTTGGGAAGCAGTTTGCGTGAAACATCCTGTTCCAGTGCAAACTCTTCCGTGGACACCCAAACCAGATCACCGGCGCGGATGGGACATGGTACGCGACGCCTGTTGGCTTGCTGCTGCATGCAGACTTGAACCTTTTGCATATTTGCGCGGGCTTGAGTCAGCAATTCCCTGTACTTCCGGACGGAGGCGGGAGAGTAGGCAGCGTCAATGTCGGCTGGTTGAGGGAGGGGAAGGTCTGCGAAGATCCGGCCTTTCCGTCCACCGTGGTGCAACTCGAACGGAGTCACGCCGATCACCGGATGCACCCAAGCGTTGTAGGCGAACTCGTTGTCGGGGAGGCGGTCAACCCAATCTTTCTGGTCCAGACGGATGAGCGTACGAAGCATCATTTGAGTGGTTTGACGTGCCCGCTTCGTCTGCCCGTCTGTCTGAGGATGTCGAGCTGAACTTGGTTTCATTGTTGTGCCGGACTCCTGCATGAGAGTAGTCCAAAACGCCGACATGAAACGAGTGTCGCGGTCGCTGACAATGTCTTCTGGTACCCATGGCCACAAATCCAACCAGTGTGCAGGAGGCGTGCCAGCTCGGGAGCCGTGGAGTAGTACTTGCAAGGGAGAAAACGCGCGTACTTACTCAATCGGTCCACAACCGTGAGGATGTCATCGTGCCCGAGCCGGTCGCGAGGAAACGGACCGGTGACGTCCATGGCAATGGAGAGACCGGGCTCCTGTTGGATAGGCATCGGGTGTAACTCGCCGTAGGGATTGCGGTTGCGGGGCTTGCTGCATCGGCAAACTTCGCAAGAGTCGCAATACCGAGTGACATCGGTAATGAGGTCGGGCCATCGGAATCGCTGTCGAAGTCGTGCAATAGTGCGGTTGACTCCGAAATGGCCGGTGAGTCGTGAATCATGGTACTCGCCGCGGAGGCGAGTCTGAAGACGACGGTCGCGTGGGACACATAGTAAGTCCTTGCCTCTCGAGTGGAGGAGCAAGTACCCGTCGGCAATGCGGTAATGGCTGGCCGGCGGGGGATCCGAAGATAGCTGTGCATAGAGTGTGCCGAAGTGCGGATCAGACTGATATGCCTGGATGAAGTGTCGCTGAAGCTCCTCGTCGAATGCGAAGGCATGATGTGWCATAGCGCAAAGATCAGGTCTTCGCGAGAGTGCATCTCTTGCGCGATTGGAGAGGTCGGGGACATGTTTCGGTGTGAAGTCAAATTGGTCGATGAAGTACATCCAGCGTCTGATCGTGCTGCTCACCGTGTCCTGCGTCTTGTAGAAGGTCAATGGATTGTTGTCTATGACCCATGTGAACCTACGACGCCCAAGGAGGAAGTGCCGCCGCGCTTGAGAGCCATCACGAATGGGAGCAGCTCCTTCTTCCTTGCATCATCAAGCGAATTGATGGGAGGCACTTTGTGGMTGAAATACTCCACAGGGTGCYAGTCGTCGCCGTCGTGCTGTTCCAAGACTGCCCCAATGCCATAGCCGGAAGCGTCCGTAGTCACTCGCGTCGGCAGGGTGGGGTCATAAATGCTAAGGACGGGTGCCATGAGCATAG